CACACACACACACACACACACACACACACAGTGCTCCAGCTCTGGGTTCACACACCAACGACGTCCTTGCTGTTTTAGGCGGTGTGTCTGTTTGCCTGTACAAATCCCCACAGTGTGTCTGTGTGTGTGTCTGTGTGTGTGTGATATCCTGGCGGAGCCTGGCTGGACTTCCTGCGGTGGAACAATGAGTGTTTATCACTTGTGAACAGCTGTCGGTCCGCCTGGCGCTCTGCTGGCTGTCGGTGTCTTTACGGCGTCACGTGTCCTGAAGTCTTTGAGACAGCCCGTTCGTCATGTTTCAGTACACTCAACATGCTTCACACAGACGTGTGTTGGTTTATAAGGACTAAGGCTGCAGTGCTGTAACTGACCTCAGGTCAGCAGACTGAAATATGATTGTGGGACAGTTTAAGATGTGCAGCTGATTACCTGAGAGGTGTGCTGGGTTCTTAACAGTGAGAGCTTTGTAATCTGAGCCAATGAAGTGCGTTCAGTACTGGCGTGACGTGCTCATATGTGCATGAAGCTCTGCTGCTGCTGATCTGGAGTGTGCTGCACGGACAGTTCCACATAGAGCAGGGCGATATGGCCAAAAATATTTATCACGATATACACTTGAAAATTTGCGATAACGATATAACTGACGATATAACTGACACGAGACAAAATACTTTACAACTCCTCAACTTTATTAGTGCAAAACCACATCAATGTATTTCCACTTAAACAAGCAGCTGTTTTTTATCTGCATTAAAGTTATATAAAAATGTAACAGTGCAAATTCCTCGCTGACAGTTTAACCAAAAGGCATTTCAGTGGAAACTGGCCGACACATCCTCAGCATAACCATGTATAACATCCACAACACTTAAAAAGAGGTTAAACACACACAACACGGTAACATTATGCTGACGCACAGCACGTATCACTCCGCGAGGCTCCGCCTACGACAGCCGTAATGCTCCAACAATCCATCAAGCGGTGCGGCTTCGTAGCTCAGCAAAGTCGTACTGAAACATCTGACAGATTTTCGAGTGCCGTGCACATAAAATCGTTTCCAGGTCAGTAACACAACCAGAGTTCATACATAAGGCACACGGGATTATAAGGGGCTGTCGACTTTCAGACAAATCAAAGGATGATTTTTAAGTGCGCCGTATTTTCCAAACAACACGGTAATAACGACAGCCCGCTAGCATGCGCTACCAAAAATAGTGCTTTGTTGTGTGTCTGAGAGTCGAAAGCTAAACCAGTTCCACACCAGTGAAGCTGCAGCATTTTTACAAACCAGTTCAGGTTCATGGTTTCATTCAACGATCCGCTCTCGCTCTTCTCGTTCTGCGTCACCGCCATGATTTGTCCACCATGTGCGTATGAAAACAAAGGCACTGCGCATGTGCGTTTTACCCATATTCTATCGCCATGTTTCATTTTCTTATCGTTGCCCCACATTATACTGTGAACGGTATGATATGGCCCAGTTTCAGATATGAATACGTTTGTCGATGTGATTTTTCAGACCTGAGATCAGAGATATGTTCGAGCAAATATTTCTGTCTGGTCTGTTCAGTTTGGGACATGCACCATTAACACCCGTCGAGCAGCAGTGAGTACAGCTGTGTGTCGTCTGCATAGAATGGTATATCATGGAGCATGCACAGGTGACCCAGCGACGGCCCGAGGGCTGAAACTTCGACCCTCTGGGGCGTTTTCACACCTCCTTCCTGTGGTTTGGTTTGTTGTCACACAGAGAAAAATCCAAGTGAACTTCAAGCAAACCACATCAGTGTTCAGTCCGCTCATTGGCCAGGTGTGTCTGGGGACGGGACCAGCACAAGTAAACACAGGAACAAGGTGTGTGGGAGAAACCTGAGAAGTTGGGTTGTTTCCCGACTTGCTGCTAGCCTGTACAGACCTGTGCAGGGTGAGAATACAAAAACTCGTGGCTACGGGACCTCTTTTAGCTCCAGCTTGTGACGCGTTCCTGGTAGTTGGTTCAGGTCGGGTCACGTTCGCACCATGAGTGAACCGCTCGTTTTGGTCTGCAGCCGAGTGTGGTTACTGTGTTCACGCCTGCACCGCACCGAGGGGGATCGAACCAGAGCTGGATTTAAACGCACTAAACGCTGCAGGTGTTAAACTCCCTCAGATACGATGAGAGCCAGTCACCTCACCTGTTAAACCGGCTGGGTCCAACGTCTGCGAAGCTTCAGAAATCCACTTAGTGAGTGGATTTTTCCAGCTGCTTTTATTGTGGAGGGGTTCTTAGAGGAAGCAGTATTGTGCCCTGTGTGTGTCTGACTGTGTGTGTCTTTCTGTGCGTCTCAGCACGCAGACTCTGGGTGGGCTCGAGTTCGTTCAGCAGTGTCTGAAGTTCGACTGGGATGTCCGGCTGTGCCTCGTCAAGAGATCGTCCATCAGCATCGAGCTGGCCCGCACGGTACACGTAAACACACTCACTCACACACACAGCATATAAACCAGGGTGTGACCCGGTCACCCATCGCCGTCACGCCACTGCATCATTTGAGTCTTTGCTTTTACAGAAAGATGACGATGAGACGGCGTCCACCATGAACCACAGCATCCTGCTGCAGGAGCGTCCAATCAAACAGACAGTCACCAGGTGAGGGGCGGAGCTCGCAGCTCGCAGAGGCACTCTGATTTCCTCCAACAGCTGATCAATCAATCACCGATTTACTGATAACATCTGTCTGTCGATCAGGGAGGCTCTGACCCTGCTGCTCGACACATTTCACAACGAGGCCGAGTCCTTCCTGCTGTCAGAGGTGACACACACACACACACACACTGATGTGTGGCGCTGCGCTCCGTCTTGTGTTCACGTTGATGAGGTTTGAGTTCATGAATGTGAAGGGGCGGAGCTTAAACTGAATCCAGACTATCAGAGATTTCATGAAAACATAAAGTCAGACTCTGAGCTGCTCGCTGAGCCTCCTCCTCTGTCCTGTCGTCTGTGAAGGTGGAGCTGCCTCTGCATGTGGAGCGCCTCGTCCAATCCGTGAAGGCGCTCTGCAGCTCGTTGGCTGCCGTGGAGACGCCCGACGTGACCTCGGCCCTTAACCAGCTCCCAGCGTGCCCTTGTCGCCTGCAGCCCAAAGTCCTGAAGGTAAACGTGTGCTTCAGTGAGGCTCAGAGCAGGTGAGGGTGTGAGTTTGTTCACTGACGGGTTACTCTCATCTGTCCTCCCAGGATGCATCAGTGCTGGCTGTCAGGGAGAACAGAGGTACGTACTAACAGGAAGCTCTGACTGCTGTGAAACGCTGTAAAAGCAGCCTCGGGAACACTAAGAGGATGCACTGGGGGGGCATCAAGCTTTGGAGGGTAATGTAGTGACTAATGTGAGTCTGTTGGCCCCAACCAACCAATCTGGTGACGTCACATCTCCGTACTGACAGAAAATGGCGCCGAACTTGTTTTTTAAACTTGAAGCTCTTGTTTCTTAAATCCAGCCTGACGGAGTTACACCTGTGTCAGTGTCTGAGAGCAGGGCTCAGCGTCAAGTCCTGTGCAAACTGACAAAACACCACAAAGTCAAAGACATGACAGAAACAAAGAAACTAAAAGTTAAAGATGTGCCTTCAGGCAGGTTTTAAAGCTGTCGAGTGTTGCAGAGGTCCAAAAAGCCTGGAGCTGAAGGAAGACCATTTCCTCCAGGACTTTGGACACCAAAGGGAGTTACAGATGAGTCTTTTTTGAGAACTGGCTGCACTGTGGCATGTTTGAAATCAGCTGGAGCTGTTCCTGTTAGAAGGGAGGTGTTAATAATGGATGGCACGCTTGGTGCAAGAGTGTCAACGAGTTCTTTGAAAAGGCGAGTGTGGATAATGTCGAGGTGAGACACGGAGGGCTTACGACGGGAAACTACTTCAGCCAGAGCGCCCAGAGAAACGGGCTCAAAGTGATTGAAAACAGGGGAACAGGAGGATCGTAAGCTGGAGGGATGCGAGTCCTGACAGCAGCAACGGTTTTCAGATAGCTGGAGACTCTGGAAACTGTGTGACGGGTTAATATCTGAATCAATGGTGAAATACGACTCGGTCTGTGGCTGTTATTAGAGATGATGTCTGATAAATCACACGAGTTTTGTGGGGCAGCAAACATGGATGTTAAAATCCCCAAGAACTTGACCCCAGATAACAAGTCTAGAATAAAACCTTTGTTAAACTGGGGAGAACAATAAACAAGTGCACACAGCACAGGAGAATACAGATCCATCAAAGTAGTGATAACTCAGAACTACCATACATATCAGTGGCTTTAAATTTCACACCAGTGCGTGAATGTGTGCGTGAATGGGTGGATGACTGGATATGTAAAGCGCTATATAAATACAGGCCATTTACCATTTACCATTTAAAAATGGATGCAAGACCTCCGCCATGACCAGTTAGCCACAGAGATGTGCAAAAATGACCGAAGCGACGAGTTCTGAAAAAGGGCTTAACTCACCAGAATCAAGGTTCAGTCGAGAATAAAACGCCAAGTCCAGGGAGGAGAAGAACCCACGAGGGAGCTGCTAACCAGCAATCAGGTGTGAGTACGAGGCAACCTAATCAAGACTGGGGACGGGTGGGAAGGGCGGAGATTCCAGGGAACCACCTCTACGGGGGGAGATGCGAAATGCCGTGAAGGTGGTTCATTAGCTGAGAGGAACCCAAATCGACCGGCAAAGATCGTCAGAACAGTTTGGAAAAACACCTTCCTGAAGCTACCAGGAAGCGCTATCCACAGAGCCTGGGATGTGGAGGAGTGTTGCACACAACGAAGACACAACTTAGTCGACGTGAACGTTATCAAAATGAGACAAAAGGCCCGGGACAGACTCCATGCTGTAAATTTATGTTTCATGTCCCCTTTAAACAAAACGTCTGAGAAAAGTCCAGCTTCACCCAAACTACCTGCGCTGCAGAGCCCAGCACGGTTTTCTGTTGCAAAGGCCTGCTCTCTTTAAACGTATGGATAAATAATTCACATTTTTATGTCACTTCATTGCATTTAATTCATTTCTTTAATACATTTAATTTTTTTTAATTTTTGTTGGGGTCACGCGGGCCTTCCCGTCCCAGGCATCTCCCCCAGCTCTCTGAGGTGTTCCAGCTGGACACCTGACCTCTCCTGGGTGTGCCTCGGGGCGGAGCTGGTTGTAGGGGTAGAGCTGTAACTCCGCCCCCACAGTCACGGCACTACCAGAGTGACTTCTTTGAACTGATTCTGTTTAATAAGTTAGTGACGATCCCGGTTTGTCTTCCTCTGACGCTCTAATGGTTCGCTGGCTTCTTTGTCGCCTCACAGAGAAAGTGGTGGAGAAGCTGACGGCGGCCATCTTGGATCTAGTGGAGCTGTACTGCAGCACATTTAATGCCAACTTCCACACGACGCCGCAGAGCCACTGCTGCACGGCGCCCATCCAAGAGGCTGGCCTCATCACCAACGTCCTCTCCTTCAACATCTACGCCGCCCACCGCATCCCCATCACGTGGGCTGCCAGGTAAGGAGCTCAAAAGGTACCCGCCCACAGGCTGAAGGGGGGGCGTCCTGTGTCAGTGCTGCAGGTTTAGCACAGTCAGAATCAGAAACTTTATTGTCATTGTCACGAGAACAACGAAATGAAGAATGGTCCCCGATCATTGCGTCATCCCTAGCAATATCAAAATATAAATAAAACAATAAAATTCAATAAATAAAATAGATAGAATACTTAAAATACTAATAAGATGTAACAGTAAAACATTCCCACACACATGCTTCAGGCCGTGCATAGATTAACACAAGAGTGGCGTGATGGACATTTTTTTGTAGCATTCAGATGTGTTATTGCAGTTGGATAACAGCTGTGTTTGAGTCTTATTAGTCCTTGCTCTGATTGCCCTGTACCGTCTGCCTGAGGGCAACAGTTCGAACAGGGAGTGGCCAGGATGTGAGGTGTCTTTTATGATGTTTTGAGCCTTTTTAAAACAGTGGGCGTTGTGTAGAACTTCCAGTGTGGGGAGAGTGCCGACTCAGTGGTGCTCACAACCAAACAACACACACACACACCAAAGGTGAACTAACGGCAAACAAAAGGAGTGGCTCCGGACTCATGCTGCACCTCAGGGGATCAGAGTTACGTGCATAACCTCCAGGTTTTTTTGGGCATGGTGGTGCTCTCTGAGGATTCTGGGATAGATTTATCTGCTCGTGAAGGAGGTGCTTGGGGGGTCTCCTGTGAGTGCAGCGCCACCTGCAGGTGGAAGAAGCTGAGCGCTTCGTGCTTCCTTTCTTCTTCTCTCATTGTCGTTGATAATTGAGCCTCAATCACATGCAGGTACGCGCAGACGCACACAGACACGCACAGCTTGGGTCGGCGGCGTGTTGACTAAATCACACTTCTATGAAAACATCAGAAATGAAAAAGAATAAAGAAACTCAGGTGGTTCTGTGATTGGGGACAGGTGTGAATATGTGCTGCACAAGTAACTCGCCTGTCCTGCTGTCATTGGTCGCAGTTATGAATGCTTCTTCCTGTCCTGCTCTCTGACTCACGGAGGGGCGGAGCTTTGTGCGCCGCAGCACACCAGCAAGCAGTCGGTCAGCAAATACCTGTTCCACCTGGTGGTCTGGGACCAGAGGTACGTACCTGACCCTTACCTGTCAGAGCCGTGACATCACACGCACGCACACCTGACGGCACAGCAGAGTCACTGCATCACTGAAACTATTCCAGCAGACAGAAGCATCAGACACACCTGCACACACCTTACCTGAGTTTAATAAGATGCTAAAAGTAAGAATTTCCTGTTCTGCAAGAGTGTGTGAGTGTGTGTTTGTGTGCACGATGTCTTTGATTTTGAATGAATAAACTTTAATCTGTTTGTTTGTTGAGAAAAACGCTAAGCCCCCGCCCCCTCGCCATATCCCCTGCAGGGTGTGTTTCCCCGTGCAGATCAATCAGCTGCCCCGAGAGTCTCAGCTAACGGTGGTGCTGTACGCCAGCCCTCTGCCGCCCCCCGGAGGAGCTGAGGAGAAGGGGAAGCAGCGGCGCAGCATCGAGGCGCTGGGCTGGGTCACCATGCCGCTCTTCAACTTCAGACAGTGAGTCACATGACACTCAGACACCATCCATCCACGCAAACCTCAAACAGGCGGATGAAGAAGAAACTGAATAAGTACTGTCGGATGTTATTCAGCCGTATTCAGGCTTTATGTTTGATGTGATACCCAGGAAAACACTACGATACCATTCTGATAGCATTAAAAGTAACGCAGCATGTGGTCCATTTATCTGAAGTCGGTGCTGGTGCTGCGCCACAAAGTGATGGGCGGTGTTTACACTGTAGTGAATGACATGCTGATCTATAACGTGTGAAATGTTTCTATCGGGTCACTCAGAGAGTGAG